CCGCCACTCCTCACTCCCACGGGGTAATGACGCAACTTAGAGTATTCCTTTAGCTTTATTCACTTGGCGTGATCATTGCGCTTGCGGTGCGTTTTTCTGCTCTTTACTGCTCGAATGAAGGTAATTGATCTTGCTCTTTAGTCGGGAACTAATAGCTCTAAGAAGAAGACGTGTTCTTACTTTCTCTTGGTAAGTAGCCAGCGCCTTTTTAACTTCTTCTCACGCGCTCACTGAACTTATAGCAGAGTCGTGATTATGCTTGTTCGTGATTGTTTGTTTGTTCGATTTTGAAATTACTTCACACTGTAGTTTGGAAGTGCTTTTTCGCAAGACTAAGTCTGTAACTTATTGACCAAGGTATTGTAAATGTAGTTAACTACCGGTCTTACCACTCCTTAGCCCTGTTTGGACGAAGGAAATAGAATTTGTGTTTGAATACGTAAATCAGAATCTTAGGGATTTTTTTTAATTGTTTTTATCTTTTCGTGTGTTTTTTCAGTTTAAGCGACGTATCTGTTACTTGTCGAATTTTTCTCGGTAGCGTCACAACTAGCACGAAATACGCGGAGACTGCGACTGCAATGAATTCAATGCTCACGGATGCCCTTTCTTTGTTTTAATATATTACCAGAATCGAATAAATAATTTTTTTTTCAGTTTTGAGTGCAGTAAGCGCATATCACGTATTTAATACATTGTGTTAGACGTTCGTATTTTAGTTGTCTTCATGCGTTTATGTAAGTGTTCGAGATCTTCCAAACTTATGCAAAAATGATCTTGAACTGGGAAATATTGATTTCATTTCTGACCGTCACAGTTTTTGCTCCTAAAAAACGGTACCTTGTTTGGGATCAGGCAGTTTATCGTGATGGGTTAATACCAGTGTGAAATGAAACTGAAATATACTTCACAATAAATAAGCCATCAGTTGGCCCCTTCATGAGGTTTGATGGCACCTTGATCAGCAATTCTAATGATAAATTGTGCTATTGAAACAGATCTGACTGCTGGCTAACATTGTAAGGGAAGGTGGCTACTCATATAACCTCAAGTTATGGCAGCAAAAGGTAAATGCATTGCCACTGTAACTGAAATTTATTCGTAGAAATGTAAGTCATCAAATTTTAGAGATTAGATTGCCTTGTCTTGTGCATGTTGCATGCCAAATCAAAAGGCTGTGTTATAGAGTGTAATGAATTTCAACTGTATTCTCTAACTTGATTGTAATGCTGAATGGTATTATCATAATGTAATCATTGGGGGGGGGGAGGAGACAGGGGGGTCACAGCCTACCACCTCCTGTAGCACTTTCTCCAACCTCCAGTACTTTTGTGCCCCTTTGCTTCCCAACTCCTGCCCTTTATTGTATTACTCCCATCTTCCAATGAGTAATCTAATGGCTAATGTAGTTTCAAATGTGTATTTACTTGCATTTAGGAATCCCTCATATACTGGGATCATGCCAGTTAGAAATGAAACCGAACAGTCACACATAAACTTAAGAGTTTTGTACTCCTTTCTAATTCCCTGCTTCTAGCTTCGGTAATTGCATATCCATTTCAGGATATTATGTTGTTCACAAATCTTGTTGTCATTGTGAAAGTGGCTTTATTATGGTCGGTAATAATTTTTCATATCTGACAAACTCAGTGGCTTCCCCCCTCGTTAAAATACTTGTATGTATGGATGAGAAGTTGACATCCTCTTCAAAGCCAGGGGCCAAGGGTCAGATCTTTAAGGTGTACAGACAACTAGAAAGTATCGAACAGCAAAGGTCCTCTAACTAGGATGGTTTGGAAAACTTTTATCTAAGGCCTCTCGGAAATGCCATTTCCTGTATTTTTGCAGATATTTTCAATAAATAAATACAAAGGAAAATGTTTGGAAAATGCAGTGTTATTAGGTAGTTACAGTGTTTTTAAGTTACACCTCAGCTAGCTGCTGAAAGTTGTATATACATTTGTACACTGGTATCATGCAGCTATGTGATTGTCTGATTTTAGAAAAGGCTTTGCAGAAAAGAAGTCTTTCATGGACTGATTTTTTCATTGCCAGACCAAAAAATACTGAGGCTGATCAATATAGCCTCTGATGACGTGTGACCTAACTTGCTTTGTTTGCTGGAGAATTTTAACTGTTACAGCTCTACTGACAATGACAAATTTATTAAGGACCTATCATGTAACCAACTTCAATAGAAAAAGATTACATTTTTGTGCCCATATAAGTAACTATTTTATGCCTCAGTGGTTGTGTTTTCACTCAGACAATTTTGGCTAGATAAAGTTGGAAAAGTCTGGAAATTCAGTGAAAACAGTTTGTCTTGAGTTTTGTGAGTAAGGAATGCATACTGTTTTCACCAGAAAAAAAAAGTGATTTTCTAGCCTATATGACCAGAAATTCACGTCAAGTTGTACTACCTCGCAAGATGGTATAATTTGTCATGGTAAATACCACAGCCAATTGCATCACACGTAGTGACAGACATGTGCTAAATTCTCTGGCAATGTTACTTACCAGATGCTCATATCATGGCTCAGTTTGCCACGTGGGAAAACAGATGTCACGTTTAACTAACAAATGTTGGTCTGTAAACAAACACCTAGAAAGAATGTTCAGCTAGTTAATTAGCCTAGTGAAAACACATCCAGTGGACATTAAGTGGAAGTAAAAAGATCTCTGATGGGTACTGTTTTTTGACTGGATAACAAGTAGTAATAGACAAAAAAACGAGTGCCTAAAGTTTATAATTCCTGCTCCTGCTTCTGGCCCTCAGATAGATTTGGCTTCCCACTTTCTCCCTCTCCCTGTTCTCCTGGGTTCCCCCCCCCCCTTCTTGCCCCCCCTCTACTTCATTGTTTCTTCATCTTAAATTCTGTTTCTTTTACAAATTTCCATTTTGTTCATTATTTAAATTTTCATTACAGCAAATAGTACTGTATTATACTGTCTTCCATAATTGCACACAACTGATAAACAATTCCAATTGCAGAAATCAAACCTCACAAAATAAAGGCAATCACAGTTTTGATGACACATCTATTGAGATTTTTATTTTTTTTATTTTAAAGTATTAACATATTTTCCTAAAATTTTCATTCCAGATTCTCAACCAGACACAGAGAATAAACCGACTGATGATCTACCACCTCCTTATCAGGCAGGTCCCCCCTCTCCTTACCCTCAACAGCCAGGTTACTCAGTACCACCTCCTGTTTACCAATTGCAACCAGGCTACCAAGCACCACCTGGTTACCAAGCACCACCCAATTACCAAGCTCCATCTAGTTTTCAAGGTGGTCAAGTGTACCATGGTGCTCCAGCTGGTGGTTTCATGGTCACTACAGTACGTTTTCTGCATCTCAATTGAAAATATTTTGTCCTATTTTAACCTTTTTGCTGCTGACTGGTTTTTCATCCCAGTGTGGATCAGACTTAAGGGATAATCTCTATTACTTTCCTCATCAAATTCAGTGCCAGAATTATCTTCTTCATCACCAGAATTTTTTGGTATCTCTGTCACCAAATGAACAAGTCTTTATCAGGCTTCCATAAGTATATTTATATACAGTCTGATTGTTTTTTCTGTGTACAGTAGTGTTCATACAAGTACCACAACTTAGCACATACTGAGTACATTCTCATATCTTATGTATAATCTGGTACAGGACATACTCAGTACTTCCTCAAAGCAGTTAAAGGGTTAAAGCACTCAGTCAGTTACATACTGGTTAGCTTTGATCCTTGTTCAAGCCCCTAGCCTGGTCATAGAGTTCAAAAGACAAAGATGCTTCAGAAACTGTATGATTTAATCTCCTACATTAAAATTAGATGTGAGAATTTAAAGCATGTTATAATCCTTTTTGAAATTCCAATTAAGGACCCAACTGTGCAAAAATGGTCTTCAAATTGGCAAAATATCCACCAACTATAAATGCCACCCTTTTGAAAAAAAACTCTCCTAGTTGTGGCAGATAATTGTGTAATATTGATGTTTTGACATCTTTTAGCAACCTGGTCCACCTTATGTGGTGCAAGCAAATGTTCAAGCCTCTCCTCCTGATCACCAAGGGCTGGCTTGGTTTGCCTGCCTCTGTTGTTGCTGGCCTGTGGGTATCTTGGCTATACTGAAATCTAACGAGGCAAGTGTGTATTTTTGACTTGGCTCAATAAACCTACAGCTCTATGGTCAAATGTTTTTCTTGAATGCACTTATGCATATGGATTCAAACATTTTTTTAGCATCACGGAGAACTATGATCTCAACAGTTTTCTGGAAATTGTGTCTTTAATGCCAGGTGTGAGGGCAGCATCTTTAAATCAGAATCAAGAGTGACCTGAAAACCTCATGGACTGCCTCATGGGCCAACTAACATACTTCCCCGGACAGTTTCAAAAAAGACTAATATCTGAGTTTATTTGACTTTTTTTTCCCTCCCCTTTCCTATTTGTTCTGAGGTGGGGATAGGGGAGTTATCTGGGAGCAGTGTGTTAGGTAGTATTTGGAGGGGAATATATTGACCTAGGATCAGTATTTTCAGGTCATCCCAGAAATCGCTTACCTTGAGATTTTTTATGACAAATTTTTCTTTTTCTAGGTGCGTAATTCCATGGCACGTGGAGACTACAACTCTGCAAGAGTAGCATCTAACTCAGCCCGTACTTTTTCCTATTTGGCCATTGGTCTTGGAGCTAGTTTTTTTATTATGTACATCATTGCCTTAATTATGGTTTTCACATTTTTGAGGGTTCAGTAATAACCCAGAAGTGATACATTGAAATAATGAAATTTCAATACCTAAGAATAACTCATGGTACAATTTAGACAGCCCAACCATGAGCATCAAGATATCAACAGCATTAGTAGATTTAATATTCCTAGAGCCTCCGAGTGATTTTATTCATTTGATGCTGAATTTTGAAGTATCAAATTTGGGTTGTTTTGTTGGGGCTGCATGTATGCAGTTGCTATTACTTTGAGCTTAATTGCTCACAATATTTGTATGAAATGAATGGTGTTTGATGCTTACATTACTGCAAGCATCATTGTGAATGATTTGCCTGGTTGAAAAATTTCAGCAGTCTGTGTTGTATAATTATATTTATTTTGTGGAATGTGTGTGCACCCACCATGGAGGAATATTTCATGGCCTCCAACTAAAATTTCTGGTGACCCTCAATCCTTAGCAGTTCCAGTGCTCTGAGCCACAACTACATTCTATTTTGGTCACTGGATCAAATGAAGATTATTCTACTGATATGTGCTTTCTATTTGTGACTTTATACATTTTCCATAACCTAAAGCAGTTGTCATGTGAAAGAAGGAAACTCTCCATATGACTAGTTGGAGGTGAAATTAATTCAGACAATTTTTTTATTTTTTTTACAATTTGCATCAAGGGCTTTTTTTATAATTTGTTTAAAACTGACAATTTGTCATTTCTCTTGGGATAGCAATTACTTAGCTATGAAAATGTAAATATTGTCTTCACTCTGTGAGTACTATAATAATTTATTGTTTTACCTTAATTTATAAGAGTGAAATGTTTATTGGGAGTTGAGAACAAGCTCAGGGAAATAAGTAGCACATTTGTGTACTTGACAACAGGCTTTAAATGAAGAAGGAGTAATGTTTCATTTTTGGAAAGTTGTGGTTACTTTTGTATGCAACAATTGTTTTGTGGTTCAATAATTGATATGTTGGAAAGTGAAATTACACGGTCTAATGCCAAGAGAATTTGAAGCTACAGTCACAGTTGTTTTTTTAACATTACAGTCTAATGATCAAATAATTTATTCTTCTGTCTAGCTGTTGTACAATTTCGCGTAAGTCAGTCAAGAAAGTAAATTTGGTGCCAATCATCACTGGAACATGTCCAAGGTGATAATTCTTAGAAGTTTTTTAATGTTTAAAGAGTAACCAGGGTGCAAAATAATTTTCCCCATTTCTGTTTATATGACACCCTGTTGCCTTTGCTGTGAGTAAGTGTTTGGCACCTCTTTTTTTCGGTTTGTTTGTTTTTCAGAGATGTATTTCGGTTGTGATTAAGCCTAAGAGAGTCGGTGAAGTAATCTTAATGTGTGACAGATTTACCCTCATCATACAACAGATGTGGGAAATGCTACCAGTGGAGCTGGGGACCGATTATAGTCGACTCTATTCTGTGGCCAATCATGGACTCTATCTTAGTACGGTGACGACTTTTTTACTGTAGTCTTCCCATTTTTAATTCCTACTTGCCAGGAATTTTTTCCCTCAAAATCCCGAAGAAGGTTAACCCACCCCGACTCCTCTGATGGGGATGTCGTCAGAGCTAATGTCGACCATCAGATTTCTAAGAAAGAAGGTTCTACCCCCTTTTAGTTAAAAATTAAACGGTTCGATATCCATTTTTTTTGGAGCGCGATGGACCTAACATTCTTGGCAGTTGCACTATTAACTGGCTTTGATTCCGGTGGGTCTGATAACTGTGACTTGTTCTCGCGGAAGCGCGCAGGCGCACGTTATACTTATCCGCTCCGCGCGCGTGACAATCTTGTCTGAGCTGCGTGTCATGAAATAGACATGAAATGTAGACCACAAATATAGAAATGGTATTTTAAAAATATGCGGGGAATTACGTTTCGGCGGAAACCACACATGATCACCCTGCTGCGAACGATATCGGAATAAAGAAATGAAATTTCGATTTGCAAGGACCTTAAAGTTTCGAAACCTGAAATTCGATCGACATTTTTCATTATCTTATTTGGTCATCTAAGTGAATCATCATATTTCAGATCGAAGGCGATTTTTCTAAGCGTGATCTCGCACTGCGAATACTGGTTTGTTTACTTCTACCAGGATTGAAGTGTCAAAGCTTTCATCTCCAAAGGTGAGTGCCACGGAGAGTTTTTTTATTACGATTGTTAACATGGGAACTGACAAGTTAGGATCAGACTTCAGCTTCCGATGCGATTGTCACAATGAGCTCCCACTGTTTAAAACCAACATTTACACAAATGTTTTGAGCGCGCATGAAAAATGTTGTCAGAAACACATTGTATTCTTCAGTTCCCAATTGTTCGAGAGCGATGAACGGTCAAGAAATCGTAAACATGATGAAATTAGTCGCCTTTCTGCGTTTGAAATCAGGAAGCTCTACTTTTATCGCGCATTTTGGTTGACAGAACCTGACCTAGACAATGAATTGAAGCAACAATGTATAAACCATATTTCAAGGGCTGCATTGTATTTTTTTTCTGGAACCTTTACTAATCTAGGACGCTGCGGAATTTTATGGAAATTTATTTTTCCCTTTAAGTTTTCGTTAAACCTATCCAACAGATTTGAGTGCTTTAGTTCATCTTCTTTCAATGACTAAAATTTTATTACAGGTGATGCCATCTGGAATAACCATTTACATAAAATTAAAACGCATCCCTATCAACATGTCACTATCAGATCAGTCGCTGCAATTGTTCATAGATATTATGTCTGTAAATCCATATATGGAAAGTAAACTATGTTAAATAATTACTCAATACCGAATAATTTCTTTGTAAAAATACATTCGGCCAAAAATTCGTGATATCCACTGACCTTTCTCAACAAGCGTTCGATCCCTGCAGGCATTTTAAAACGTCTGTCACATTGCAGAACTTCCCTACATTCATAAAACGAAATAACTTTTTGCCTTGGCACACTTAGGTCGATATAGTATATATTGAAATCTTCAATAAGCCGTTTCATCGCAATATACAATCCATGTTGATTACATGCAACCGTTAAATTTCGCATCGTTTTATTTTCGCGCCTCAGCAGAGACAGAAGATAGCTCTGTTCCTTTGTTTGTTTTTATTTAATTGCTCTTTTGTTAATTGGTTTGAATTAACCTTTTTGTGATGCCTATTGTTGCATGTCTGTTTTGCTCTCGTGTGAGACCTTCAAATATCCATGCCTTTAGAGTGAGATTAAAGTTCTTCGCTTCGGGAGGGTCAGTTTCCTTTTCTGCGTTGGACAGTTCGCTGCAATTAAAATCTGATTAGCTACGGTGTCTCCTTTCCTCGGCTACCTTGACATATAATTGCATCCAAAATATGTGACTTCCTGTGGTTCTTCTGTTATTGTCTCACAGTAATTTTGTCACACTTTGATTTGTAAATGATTTTGGCAAGGGTAAACAAACTCAAATCGAAACCTTAGACCTGTGAGTGTATTAAGTTGGCGATCTTGGTCAAACATGCTAAATATATGCTTATCACCGTCTTACATTACACATTTCCACGAATGAAAAATTCCTTATAGATTGTATTTAGTCGGAGTGCAAGAGAGGATCAATCTCTCTTTTTCAATGAGATTAGTTAAGCTTTTTCAAAATGCCATGTTAATATTTTGCGCGAGGCACGCGTGTGGAAACTCACAAAGCACGCGCGCGTGCTGAGTTTACTTTTGTGCCATCTTTTCCGGAAGTCAACAGTAAGAGTTAGCCTAATGATGTTGTGCGCCCCGACATAAACTTATTGTTCCGAAATTTTCTGTGATCTGCCAAAGCAAACCGACGTTAAGTTAAATGGGCTTTTTGCATGGGATCTGGACCCCCTCCCACTGCACATTTGGACTCCCTAGGTCCAAAACAAGCCCTTCTCAAACCATGTGCATCCATTCCTCGCTCAGATTTCACTGAATCATGTTATGCCAACATTCGGGTAAAATACGACGGCAGGATACTGACAATAATGATTTTACTTCTGTTGTAAATTATGAAATGCACTTTGTTGTCCGCTGGTGTCTTCTACTGACATACTTACGTCTACACGTGTGATCCATTTGTAAAACCACTAGTAAATTAGGGAAAAGGTTTGTATCTATTCTCAAGTATATTTTGCATGTGAACTCTCACAAGATGATCATTTGATTTTACCTAACTATAACCTACACTTGCATAGTACGCGGGAGAGGGGGCGAGGTTCAGAAAGGGACCGGGTGGGTCCAAATCCGCTATGACACGGGCAACAAGGGAGCTAACATTTCAACCACTAAGAGCGACTAGCGTCAAATTTTTCCTCATCGTGTCACCCCTAAATCAAACATTAAGGTCATGAGACTAATGGAAATGATCAACAAGTACAGGAGCTCTTGATTGTTAAGCAAAATCTCCTTGTCAGCACCTTAGGAAATTTATGGAGAACAGTATGGAGAATATACATAATGATGTTCGGGTGTGAAGGGTTAAATTCACCAACTAATCACTCTTCTGTTACATTTTTTCATAGCACTGACAGAATAAAATAGCGAAAAAACTAGCCAAAGAAAATGGAGGAAAAAGCCTTGTCATTGGAAAACAGTGGCTCAATAACTCCCCATGTGAGTATTTCGTCAATCGATGGAAATGGTCAAAGTGATGTTGACCAAAACGAAACGCAGTGCCAAGAACATGATGAGCCAAATGGAGGAAATTCTCTCGAGGAGGATGAAGAAGAGGCTTTAAATGATAAGAATATAGTGATTTTTAATGGACCCAAGAGCGACGGAGTGGTTAACTATGGTTTTTTCGATCTCGAGGACGAAGATGAATTAGCTCCTAGCGAGGGCTCTCACAACTTACAACATGAAGAATTTGATGAAATTGGAACTGGAGAAGGTGGAGTAACGGTAACAACAACCACTGCTACAACTTTTTCAAGGCGCGTTGATCGATCAGGAACGAAGATAGAAATTCCCGATAGTCTAAATGAAGAAGACGAAGAGCAGGAAGAACGAGAACAAGAACGAGAAAACAAAATGAAGGAATTGTCATCTGAGAGAAACGAGAAGCAAACGACTAATAATCTTCTTCAAGAAAATTCAGCTGTTGTCGTTAAAAAGAAAACTATTACTTACCACACTGAATCAATAACAGTTAATGGTGTTACTTTGGAGAGCAGAAAGTTCATCGAAGATAATGTAAACGTAACAGAGAAAAATAACCCAGAACTACTTTCCATGAAGAGTAATTCTGAAGTAGTGGAGAGCGTCCAAGGAGGAAATGAGAAAGATCCTATCGATGAAGATTCCATGATTATTTTGGAAAATAAACCCACGTTACCGCTTGTGGAAGCTGTTCTTGATGAGGGATTAATTAACGGGGTCCGACAGTTTACCTTGGAGAGTGCACCCGAAATCATCAAAGAGCTCCCTGGGTCACGTCAATTGTCGCAGGTATCGAATGAAAATGAGAGTAGTGAACTTCGGGAACCATCAG